CCTCACGGCCCGCTTCCCACTTGGGGCCCTGGGGTGGCGGTGGGGCCCCGGGTCAATCCAGTGGGAGCAAGGACCCTGCTCTTTCCAAGGCCATCCCAGCCCCAGGTATCTCGCCCCAGCCAATGGCCCGGAATCCCCCCTCGGGTTACCGCAGCTGGCAGGTCCCAGGATCCGGCTGCATCCTCGGCCCCTTGCTCACCGGCCTGGGCTTGCAGGAGTTCGAGTAACTGCTCGGCTCGGATTCTCGCTGCAGGGCGGGGAGGGTCCTCCGCCCCCTCCCAGGACCGTGGGAAGTCGAGTCATCAGCCCGGGACCGTCACTCTCCACACAGGCGCAAGGACTGACTTCTCCCTGGTTCCCGCTCAAGCACCAACCTTGGGCGGCTCACTTCTGAGTCTCATTATTATACACCGTTGGGTTGGACTATACCAGTGGGTCTCCAACTCCTTACTCAAAATTCTAGCTAGTATGGTTGAAAGTAGGGAGTATATTTTAAACACCTTTTAATTGATGTTACAGAAGACCAGAGAAAAACCAAGCAACTCCCAGAGAAATGGAGTTACACTGTTTATTATGCCTTGGGGCCCAGAGAAAGAGTTCAAATTCTGAGCAAAAACATGGAGGAAGCCCTCCCCTTTTATATCTTTCCAGCCCTTTGTCTCCCAAATAAGGGTTTTCTGGTCCTCTTTGCAAGTTCTTAAAGAGCCCCATGTGCTGAGGCAGCGGTTCTCAACCTGTGGGTCGCGACCCCTTTGGCGGTCGAACGACCCTTTCACAGAGGTCGCCTAAGACCATCCTGCATATCAGATATTTACATTACGATTCATAACAGTAGCAACATTACAGCTATGAAGTAGCAACGAAAATAATTTTATGGTTGGGTCACAACATGAGGAACTGTATTTAAAGGGCCAGAAGGTTGAGAACCACTGTGCTGAGGCCTTGAGACCACAACTAAAGGCCTCGCCTGGTGCCAGTACTGATAACTCCTCCTGGGGATGGTTTATGGTCTCTCTAAAATGGGAGTAAACAGGTCTTGCAGGAGCAGACAATTAAAGGGGCAGTGCATTAGGTTAATGGCATAGATTCAGATTGTTAGCACCCTAAAAGTGTCTAATTTTCCCCATCAGTACCATTTAATTTACTGGTGAGGTATCCGAGGTTTGCTTTAAAATACTCAGAATAGTCACCAAAGAGAAAAGAAAATGGTCAATGAAACAAGATAGGCAAAGTGTTGATAATTGTTGAACCTGGGCATAGGTACCTGGGGGTTATTGGAAGAGTTTTCTTACTTTTCCAAGGTAAAAGGTAAAACCTATGAAGTACATTTAAAGTTTCACATGCTAACTACATAAACGCTCACCTGAGCTTAACACAGCCCTGGTGGGCGATAGGAAACTGGGAAGGGTTATGGGAAATAAGTTCCATCCAGCAGTCCCTGGGCAGGTGCAAGCTCCCCAGTGTGAGCTCTGCCCTGGGCCCTGTGCTCTTTCACTAGCCCTCTGGTCCTCGCTCTGTGATACCCACACTCCAGGGACTTCCTGCTTCCTAGTTATGGGCCGGTGGAGGATGCCTTCTGGTCACCTTATCACCTTTGGGGAAGGAAAGACTTCAGTGGACTGAGCTGGTCATCTGAACCTTACTTGGATGGTCTTGTTCCAGGGCCAAACTGTGAAGGTTGTGGGTTTCGTTAAGAGCAATACGTGCTCCAGTCTTTTCTCTCTTAGGTCTGGTTTTGCACCTGACAAATAATTCAATGACAAACAGGGAAACTTGTCTCTGAGAAGTTCCGGTTTTCTGGAAGGGCCCCTCTCCTTTTCATAATAACAGGAATTAATTTATCTGATGAATGTGCTGCCACCTTGAGCCCCTTACTTTTTCTCTCTCTGAAATGGAATCTGGAGCAGAAACAACAACAACACCTAAGTTTGTTACAGCTGATTCCTGGGGGTGGCGATGCCCCAAAGGCCAGTCACCATTTCCTGCCTCTGAGACCCCTGGGAGCTGCCCTGTGTGCTACTTCCCCAGCCTGCTCTTCAGCTTTTCCCCAGTTCTCTGAGCAGCCCTGGACTCTTCCAATCACCTTCTTCTGTATAAGTTGCCTGGAGTCTGTATTTTTTGCTTGAATCAGAGAACCCTACATGCCACTGTGGGTATTTTTCTCTGTCCAAGAAGAAGGGTCAGGGGAGCGATTACCCAGTTCCAGAGAGTGAGTCCAGCCACGACAGCTGCACGCCTCCCCAAGCGCTGGGATTCCAGAGAGCAGGGTGGGAGAAGCGAACAGGGCAGGGTAGCAGGATGTGTAAATACTGGTGTGTTTGCAGAAGGGCTGCCATCTGGTGGATGTGGGTCAAGGTTGGCTTCTTTCTTTGGATCTTTACGGTAAACCTGGCAGAGGGGACGTGGTGGTGTGAGTTGGGCTGGTGTGAATGCCTGGGAACTTGAAATTGGTTTAATTTTACAAACATCTTCTGAATGCTCTTTATGTTTGACCCTCCCCGGTGCTCCTTCCCCTCTACTGGGTTCACTATTCAGTTCAGATGGTTCATGGGACACCTTACGCTGGCATGTTGATGGCCTTTTTGCCATTAGTGGGTTTTGAATGGTCTGAAATGAACATAAAGAACCCAAGTTTAACATATAGATTATATGAATGAATAACTGAATACAAAAATAAACTGAGTTAATTACAATTCTGGAGTCACAGAATCCATAATAAGAAATCCTTTTGCTAACTTTATGCTTTTTTCTGTCCCTTGTAGTATAGCATAGCAATTAAAACCTTACCCTCTAGAGTCAGCTATGTTCAAGTCCTGGGTCCACCACTTTTCAATTTTTGTGGCCATGGCAAATCACTTAACCTCTTTGGAACATAACAGAGAATGGTGATAATATATTAGTATAGTGTGTCCCATATTCATATTCTTTATTTAATTTTTTTTTCTTTATTTAATTTAGTTTAATTTTTTCTGCTCTGCTCTTTTAATGATTCCCACATCTCTTCTTGTCACTGGGCACATTCTTCATCATTGCACTAACTGTATCAGTTAGCTATTGCTGTGTAACAAACTCTTCAAAATTTAGATTACAAGTATGTGGCTCAATTAGGCAGTTCAACTGATCTTGGCTGGGCTTTCTCACATGTTTTGTGGTCTCACATATAGGTTGGTTAGGATGGGTTCAGCGAGGATAACTAAGCTCTCCTCCATAAGGTCTCTTATCTTTCAATAGTCCAACCTGGGCTTGTTCTTATGGAATAAGGG